TGAGTCCCAGTCATTTCAGTTGTAGGTACAGCGTGGTGGCTTTGTAGATTCCTTTGCTAGCAAAGTGGAATCTGTGGGTAGTAAGCCCGACAGATGAAGGGACACAAAGGTAAATCCTCCTGGCACGGCCAGTAGAAGGGAAGTGTTCCTGGATGGCTCCACTTCATGGGCTCCTCTTGTCATTTTGGCCTTTTCCTTACTTAGTGATGACTGTGCACCGGCCTGGGGTCCTTCAGCTGTCAAGTATTTAGTTTCTGAATAAATATTTACATTACCACCATTCAGTAGTTTTAAAAATAACATTCTGTGTAATCCATTTCCTAAATGTTGTTGAAGGCATCCCATTCCTCCTTTCCTTGCCTGACTTTGAAAGGCAAGCATTCCTTGATGGATGGGGATGCTGTCACTGCGACAGATGCCGAAAGCAGGCTGGGATCTGGAACCAGGTGTACCCCCCAGGTTAGCATTCGTGTGTGAGGACTGATACTGAGCAGCTGCCTCTTCCACTTCCTGAAGGCTTCTATTCATCTTATAAAAATAAAGATTTTGTATTTTGGGGTGTTAACAGAGGTCTGGGCGTGCTTCGCGTCGGGAACCCTGGGATGACATCAGGTGACCATCCCCATTCCTTGGTACTGATGCAGCTAGGATGGAGGGTTCAGCCTCTTCCCTTCTCCCCCACCCGCAGACCCTTCCCCAAATACAGGAAGAAGAAAACAAAATTGGAAACAATGGTCTCATCCGCTCTCCCCTAGTCCTCGACCCTTCCCACCCTGATTAATGGTCTGCATGTGCATGCAGCCTTTTCAATTATGTAAACATCATCAAAAATACAATTTTTAAAAATGAAGTCCTGGGTTTTTGGTGTGCTTATTTTTGTTTTCGAAATGGAAATGGAAACTCCATTTGTATCTGGCATCAGTTCATGAAATAAACAACCCAGATGAGTTGCCTATCACGATTCAGCTAAGAGGGTCAGTTAATGGGAGAGGGGCTGGTGACTTCATGCAGTGACATTTCTTTGTGATTTATGAAGTGGCCAAGGCAACCAGGCTTTTGTGTCTTTATGAAATTGTTATGAATGTAGTCTATATCTACTGTGGAATAATTGAGAAAAAGTGGAGAAATAAAATTGTGTTCAGTGCAGCTATTGTTGCTAAGCATCTTCTTGAGTTTGTGCAGATCTTATCCACAGACAGGAGTTCTGCAGCATTGAATGAAGTAACACTTGCGTGTGTTTGTTGCTTATGATGCTTCTGTGAAGTCCTGAGGTTTATCTTGCTAAGACACTGCTGTACAGAATGCGTGCTGTAGAGGCTAGGAGCACAGTGATGCTGGTGGCCATATAACAGCCACATTCCAGGTGGCCAACTTCTACCTTCAACTTCCTGGAAATACTATGTGCAGTATTACTTAAGAGCTTTGGGATTTGTAAGAAGTTTGGACTATGTCCTTGAAGGAGATGAAGTGTGTGCTGCGCAGTGTGACTGTGTGTGCACACAATCCTGTTATATATTTAACAGCCTGATTTTCTTTACTTAGTGTCATATTGTAGGCACTTTACTACTCATTATAAATTATTAAAAGTCAGATTTAAAAGACTGTATTATGCCCCCAAAGTGAATCTACTTTATTTTAGTGAATTTTGCTGCATACTTAGGAGGTTTGGGGTTTCTGTTTCCTACTGTTGCTATTCCAAATATGATCAGTGTCATTATTCATTTTAGTTCAGATTCTTTTGATGTAATGAGATGTATATATAAATGTATATACATAGCTGCACAACCTATGTGTATGTGTATTCATTTTGGTTTAGATTCTTCCAAAGTAACGATATGTATATATAAATGTGTATACATAAATGCACAGCCTACATACATATATACATATTTATGTATACATATTAAAAGATACTTGAGGCACGTTGCCACATTGCCTTCTAGATTGCTGTCATTTCTATCCCTTCAGTAAGTTTCGGCTATACTGATCAGTATGCCTTAACCTTAGTAAGTCTTAGAAGAATAACTTGCGATTTGTCAATATTTGTCTTTCTTTCTTTGTATTAGTTGATCTCTTATATATTGTATTTCTCTTCTGCTTATGGACAATTAACTTTCTTTACTGAATCAAGTCATGTTTTGCATGTTTTAATGAAATATTAGTATTATTTGCTTATAAGTAGAATTCACTTTTTGATTTCTATAAGCTATGGATTGTCCACTTTTTGATTTTTTATTATTAATTATATTTACTTTTGATGATAGTTGATTAGGGTGATAAGAACCAAGAACTACAGGAAGGTGAGATCACTATTTCCACATTTTCTCTCTTTTTTTTCCCTTCCTGTGTCTGTGGGAAGGGGTGAGACAAGCAGAGAAGCCACATCCGACCTCCCAAACACCTCTGCACCCTGGGATGGAGGAAGCCACCAGATACCACCCAGAGTCCCCAGTGTGGAGTATGCTCTGAGGGTCCTGTTCAGGAGGTTTTGATAGCTTACCATTTCTGAGTTCCTGCCAGTCTGACCACTCTAAGCATGATGAAATCACTCCAGAATCCACTGGTTGATGTCATCTACCCTAGAGTCTCCGTTTGCCCAGTTATTCACTGCCAACACTTGGTTGGGTTGGTTGATCAATTTGTTCTGTCCTCTATCATGGTACCAGGTGTCCTCTGCAGGTTCTGATGGACTTCCATATCCTCCATGTGCACCTGGATATGCTGTCCACTGCTCCATCTGAGCCTCTGAGGAGGCTCAGCTTTGACACATGCACTCCACGGTCAGACCATGGAACCTATACTTTTCTTCATGGATGGGATTCTGTGTCCAGTGATTCAGTTAGGGGGATCCCCCCAAAATTGGAGTTGATCTCAGATGTGATTCCTATGTGTTCTTGCCAACGTAGGGTCCAGCTCAGTCCCTTACTGCTGTTCTTATTGAAGCTAATATCATTTTCCAGACAAATTTCCCAACATATTTGTGGGGGTGTGCCTGATTCAGACACTGCCTTTTTTTAGCCTTGTCCCTGACCTGTGCTGTTCAGCCTCTGCACTGCCCTTCCTCTGCTTTGTGCAGCATTTGCCGTCCTCACGGAGCCTTTCCAGGGGCTTCCGTGTCTGGCTGGCTCTGTCTTTCCCATATCCACATTTGCCTTCCCAGTCTAGCCCTCCTGCAGATCAGATCTCCTTCTTTATCTAGCAGAATCCCATTCTCTTTCTTACACTAAAAACAACTGTGTTAATTCACTTTTGCAAACTGCATTTTGAACAAATAATTTCATAATTTAGATGAGGTAAGTGATATAGAATGTACAGCTCTACAAAAATATGCACATTTGAGCACACATTTTTAGGGGAGAATTATTAAAAATAAAAATAATCTCAGTGTGTTTGGAGAATGACTCATCCTCTGAGATTAGTGACCAGATGATGGGGTTTGGAGACCTAGAACTTAGATGGGAGCTCTGGACTGAGCAGTTGGGAGCTATTTGGTCTTGGGCGACTTGAGCTTTGTCGTTTTAACTTTCCACCTCTGTAAGTGGAGTTAATAGTAGCATCTGTCTCTTAGATTATTGTGAGTACTAAATGAGGCAACTCAGAAAGTGCTTAGCACAGGGCCTGGCACACAGTAAGCACATTATAATCAGCCCTTATTCTTTTTAATTTTTGAACTATTTATTTATTTTTATTGGAAAGGTAGATTTACAGAGAGAAACAAAGACAGGCAGAGAAAGATCTTCCAACCACTGGTTCATACCTCAAGTGGTCACAATGGCTGTAACTGGACAGATCCGAAGCAGGGAGCCCTCTGGGATCCCTCTGGGGGTCTCCCATGTGAGTGCAGGGTCCCAAGGCTTTGTCCGTCCTCCACTGCTTTCCCAAGCCACAAGCAGGGAGCCAGAATGGAAATAGAGCAGTTGGGACCTGAATCAGCACCAGTATAGGATGCTGGGGCCCATAGGAAGATCGGCCAGTTGAGGTATCACGCTGGGCTCCAGTCACTGTCCTTTTTTTTCATTCTCCTTCCTGTCTTTTTCTTTAAAGATTTGTTTATTTACGTACTTGAAATGGAGAGAAATCAGGGAGGTGGGAGTGGGGAGAGATCAAGGGATCTCCCATCTACCGATTTACTCCTGAAATATCAAAACTCCATCCTGGTCTCTAAGGGTCGCATGGTCGAAGCATGTTGGGCGTTTTCTGATGCCTTCGCCGCCTGTTAGCAGGAGGCTGAATCGTAAGAGCCAGGACTCAGATCAGCACTGCAGTGCGGGATGCTGCTGTGGCAAGCTGCAGCTCAACCTCTGGGAACACAGCAGGGGCCTCTTTCTGGGTCTCCTCATCTTGGAGCATTTCGAAGGTGTCAGTGCTGTACAGCACAGTGTTAGAAGATGTGTAGGCTTGTTTTCTTCTCGATAATTGCCCTGCTGAATTAACAGTGTTTCCTCTCAGACGATGAAGTTTTTTCCAATTGTAATTTCAGGAGCCCTTTCCCTCACACTGCCATTGTTTTTTAGAAGTGTCATACTTTACTTTTGCTTCCAGAGTAACACAGTTTTTTCTGTAAGATAGCATAATTTACCTTTGCTTTATTTGTAAATGTTTACCTTTATTTATTTGGGGAATAGAGAGAGAATGAGCACTCCCTCTACTAAAGGGAGAGAGAAAGGTAGAGAGAGAGAAAAATGAGTTATTTTCCTCTGCCAGTTCACTCTCCAAATGCCCAGTGTCTAGATGTCAGTGAGAAACCAAAGGCAGGAATGAGGAACTGAATCAGGTTGTTCCGTGTGAGTGGCAGAAGCCTGAGTCTTTCCGGCTGCCTCTTTCAGGGTTGCAGTGTCAGGAAGCTGGACACTGGGAGCAGAAGCTGGAATTTAAATTAGGCTCTGATGTGGAAGTGCACTTCCTATGGAGCCTCAGCACTGGACCAAATGCCTGTCTTACTTTCTGTTTTGCTAGTATCGCTTTGTAAATATTAACACTCGTATCTGTTTTCTTGGCAGCTGGCAAACTTCCCCAGACTCTGTGAGGAAACAGAAAGGATCGTTGCCAACCACATTCGTGAGCGAGAGGGGAAGACGAAGGACCAGGTGAGGAATGCTGTCCTGCGGTGTATGGGGTCCCTGTGGGGAGCAGAGAGCTCCGCGAGGAATGATCTCCTGTGCTGTTAGGGTTGCTGTAAAAACTTTCCAGTATTCTTTTCCATGATGCAGTCTTGTAGGTATAGAGGTTCTCCTGTCCACCTCTCCCTCCTCTCGCCCTGTTCTCCCCACCACTATTTCTCCCATGTTATTACAATGGCCTGATGCTTCAGCAACAGTCACAAGTCTGGAGTTCTGCTGTTTAAATGTACCACGGCATTGTAAGTACAGCAAATGGTAGAAATTCTACTTTCCTGTTGTCAAGGTATATTTGACAGTTTTATTGGGCAACCCAGATGCCCATTTAAAGAGGAATGGATAGAGAAACTGTGGTTCTTCTGCTCGGTGGAATACTACTCAGCCATTAAAAAGAATGGGATTCTACCGTTTGCAACCAAATGGTCTCAACTGGAGACAGTTATGCTCAGTGAAATAGCCAATTCCAAAAGGACAAACACCTATGTTCTCTCTAATATTAGACAACCTTCATGCAAAATGCAACACAAATAGCTACATAGGTAAACATGTACGTATATATATTCTCAGAGATAAACTGTATAACGGAGACTAAGATATCAGGAAGTAAAGATAAGTTGCAGTTTGCATTTCTACTGCTGAATAAAAGGTGTTAGCTTTCAGCTGGGCCCAAAGATCGGTTCCAACATGTTCACAAACTCCTGAAATATTATTTAGAGTGCTCAGTGCTTTAGTTTTAGTGCTTGAGGGAATTGATGTAACTGATCATCCATTTATCCATGGAACCTATGATTTCAATAAAATGTAAACTGCCCATTTAGATATTTGTAACAGTTTTGTAAGTGTAGATGGTGTGTAGGGAGTGCTTTTGAATTGCCCTCCTAATTCTAATTCAGCGATTAGGAAAGATTATCTCAAATGAGGATATTTATTTTAAAACAGTAAAAGACTATGTGAGCACAATTTAAGTGGATGCTCGTAGTTACTAAGCATTTTAATAGGAACTTCAGTAGTTTTCAGATTCTTAGATTCCCTGACACAGCTGCAGTGTGATGCTGTGGAGAGAACCCTGGATGGCGGCCATGTGTTCTCCGCAGAATAACAGCACGTTCTGGGGTGAATCACGTCTCTGGATTGCTGGTTGCTTGTGCATAGCACTGAGATGTTGCTCTATGCCATCTCCTTCTGCCTTTGTAAATTCTTTCCTGAGGTTTTTTGATTCTCAGGTGAGTTGGAAGGAGGGATGGAATGGGAGAAATGAAAGGAGATAGAACATAAGACGGGGGCACACAGGGGAGCTGCATCAGCCTGTGTTTCCTGGAGTGAGTGTGCTTGTGGGGCTGGGAGGGGGCTGGGAGGGGGCTGGGAGGGGGCTGGGTGAGGGCTGGGTGATGGCTAGGTGAGGGCTGGGTGGGAGCTGGGAGGGGGCTGGGAGGGGGCTGGGTGAGGGTTAGGTAAAGCTGTGGGGCTGGGAGGGGGCTAGGTGGGGGCTGGGAGGGGGCTGGGTGAGGGCTAGGCGAGGCTGTGGCAGACATCAGAGGATGGAGGCCCTGCGATGTGGGACATTTGCGAGTGATAGTAAGCAGCCTTTTCTCCTTGAGATTCATTGTTACTGCTTTATTGTACTTTGAAATTTATTGTACTTTGAAAACTGCTTATAGTTTTTCATTTGTCTTTGAACTTTTCCCCCCTTTATTCTCATTTTTAATTTGAAAAGCAAAGACCAGGGGAGGGAGAACAAGAGCAAGGGAGAGAGGGAGAGAAAGAGTGAGAGAGTGAGTGAGATCGCCTGGCACAGTATCCTAGTGGCGAAATTCCTCACCTTACACACAGTCCTGGCTGCTCCACTTCCCTTCCAGCTCCCTGCTTATGGCCTGGAAAAGCAGTCGAGGATGGCCCAAAGCCTTGGGACCCTGCATTTCAGGTGGGAGACTGGAAATTCCTGACTTTGGATCAGCTCCCGCAGTTGCATTTGGGGAGTAGTGAACCAGCAGATGGAGGCTCTTTCTCTCTGTCTCTCCTTCTCTCTGTAAATCTACTTTTTCAATAAAAAGTCTTACAAAAGAGAGAGAGACTTCTTCATCTCCTGGACCATTCCCACTTATTCCCCCAGATGACAGGGCTGGACCTAGCTGAATGCTGGAGCTGTGAACTCCGTCATTTTTCTGTGTGGGCATCAGGACCAGGTGTTTAAGCCATCACCTGCTGCCTCCCAGCATGTGCGTTGAAAGGGAGCTGGCATTGTGTGCTGAGCCAGGACCTGAACCCCAGCGCTTCAGAATGGGATGTGAGAGTCTACAGGGACATGTTAGCCAAACACCTGCCTGTATTCCAGCTTTCACACTCTTGGTTAACTAAAACAGAGAAAATGGGCTTTGTCACTTAGTGGAAATAAAGCAGTTAGTATTAAACAAGAAAAATAAATCCAAATATATAACCAAAGGTTGTAGATTCTCCATAGCTAATGTTTTGGATACTGTTGGATCAAGAAAGCTTAAGTTCTTCTGTACTCTTGAACTTAAATAAATAAGCCAGTGTCCTAATTTAGTATCTTCAGTATATAATATTGCAATTACAGGATATCCTGTTTAAATTAACTTATAGGGATCCTGTATAGGAATTACACTGAGGCAAAAATAGTACAATACTATTTAAGCCACATTTGCAATCACACCTGAATCAGTTGTTTACTTCTATGTGTTTCACATTACTTGTTTCCCTCAAATGTCACATTGTTGTCAGGCTTGTGTGCTCTTGGTTCAGACCACCTGACTTTGGGTCCTGATTCTGCCACTTGCTTTCTATGTTACTTCTAACAAGTTTCTTGGTATCTGCACTTCCTTTGCTCCTGTTGAAGTAGGGTAATAATGAGAGTGAACTGAAACATTTGTTTCAGAGAGCGTTGACATGTGATAGAGGAGGAGAATTGATTCTTTTTAATTTCAAAGCAAGCTGCCTTCCCTATGCAGTCCTGATGCAATGATTAATCCATTCCCACATGGGAGATGAAAGCAGGTGTGTTCCCTAGTAAGTCTCAGGTGGCCTGCTCTGATAGCTGTCAACTAGTTGGCAGTGGCTCTTTCTGATGTGGGGATAGACGTGGTAGAAATATGCATGATTTTGGTCATGTAAATTGGTCATTTTGGATAGAGCTCGCATTTGAATTCTGCCTTAGGCCCTATGATACTAGTGTGTGTGTGTGTGTAGACAGAAAAACAGCCCATTTTCTCAGGCTTCTATGCCTTAACTGCTCTGAGGCATTCTTGAAAGTTTCTTACTTTGTTTTTGGAAATGGAGTTATGACCAGCCTCTGCTATGGAAGTTTTTAGGAGGGGATAGGGAGTATCCTTCAAAAAAAAAATATGGCAAATCATAAATCCTTCAAGATCTGTTTGTGCCAGCTATTATTCTAGACGTTTCCACACGGGTAACTTCATGTTGAAGTGGTTAACTTTGTAGGGCATGATTTCTACCTGGAGTAGCTGCATTTTTATTCAACAAAATATTCAATAACTGTGGGGTTAAAAAGGCACTGAGAAACCCTGAGAAAGTGAAAAATAAGAAAAAAAATGTTGTTTTCCTTTTAATTCCCCACATGTGACCTGGCTCTTTTCCTAGGGTGAACACAGACTCCCAGTTTCCAGGAAAATGAGTGAGAACAGCCTTAGCTTTTATTTTTTCCCGACTTTTTTCCTTCACTGCAGTCCAAGTTCATGTGTGTGAATGCAGGGTATTTATGACAACTTCTGGTAATGCTGAGAATTACATGCATCTCTTCTTCTTTATGGTGGCAACAGTCTGTTTATGTTTAACTATTACAGTTTGTCGATACAAATTATAGGCCAAATTTTATAGTTTGGGACTATAACACTGAACAGGATCTGACTCTGTTGTGGGAGAAGAGGTAAGGCACAGCTGCTTTAACAGCGATTGCCGCTCCCAATCTGTTAGCTTTCTGCAGGAGGTAAAACATCATTATACCTGAAGATCTGAAAGTGTGATGTGCTTGGTTCAATAGCCTCTTGCCTTGAGTTTATATTTTATAGTGAGAATAGATTAAGAATGATCTGTTCATTTAAAAAGTTTTTTTTTGGAAGGGATGAGGAGTGTGGGAATCTTCCTTTGTGACTCTCAGCAAGATTTGGTCAGATGAGCAGTTACGATTAGCCACAGAAACAAAGTCCTACTGCCAGTCACACTGGACACTAAGCAACAAACACGAGTACGTGGCCACATACTAATTATATAGGAATCAGCTGCCTCCTTTGAAACAAACGGTTACAAAATTAGATAGCTAAAAATTTATAACCACAAATATTTACTGGTACCTATTCTATGTGTTCTGCTGGGTTCTGGGATTGAATAGTGAACAGAAGAAGCAATTCCTTCTCTTATGGAGTTTACAACTCTGCAGGGAGGGAAAACATCAAACAGTAATTTATATGATAAATAATTACATTTGTGCTAAACACCATAAACAAAATGCATAGGGTGATATGTGTGTGTATACATGTATATATCATATATATGCACATGTTGTAGTTATAATATACAGGCTATCTGGGAGTCACATTTGACCTAACTTTAAATTTTAAAGATAAAACCTTAGAATCAGGAAGGGCTTTCCTGAGGAAGTACCTGTTGGGAAGTATTATGTAAGCCATGCCTCTGCCAGCTCCAGCCAGCTCAAGCTGGAGCAGGGGCAGACTGGGCCAGGCCAGGCTACAGCACCCTCTGGCAAATGCCAAGGTGAGATGGGTCATGCCAGACTGGGCAGCAGCACCCACTAGCACACACACAGCCAGGATGGGGGAGGAGAGGGAGGTGAGCCTGGTAGGGGAGTAGTGGAGACTCCACTGCTAGGCCACTACTCAAGTTGGCCAGCCTGAGAGCTGGAATTGGGGGCAGACCAAGCGGAGCAGGGCTACAATACCTGTTGACCTACATGTGAACTGAGTTATGGGGAGAGTCAGGCTGGGGTGTACGATTGTGTCCAGTACAAGCATAATCCAGAATGAAGACAAGTAGGTTGGCCTTTGCTGTGGCATCATTTGGGAAGTACTGGGACTGGGGGCAAGTCCTGTGGAACTAGATTACAGAACCACATGGACAGTGTGAGTTCCAGTGCTGGATTTGGGTCCAGTGCGGAGGTGGTGGGTTCCTCTCTGATGAGCTGCAGCTCCCACTGGTGAGCATGAGAACCAGGACTGGGGGCCAGCTTGCTAGACAGGTGGCACCCACTGGCATGAGTGTGGGCTGGAGGGTGGAGTCAGTTGGGTTGAGTTAGGCTTCAGTGTCCAATAATGTATACAAGATCTCAATGGGATTATGGGGAAAACTGACCAGTCCACTGCGCATGCTGGCAGGCACAGGAACCAGAGCTGGGGGCATTTCAGTGGTGGTTATTGGGGGTTGCTGTGTTCCCCCTATGGGAGACCCCTGGGGCTGACAGCAAATATCTGGACCAATGGAGACTCGGAGGTGGACTGTGACAGCTAGTTGACTTCGGGAGGATTTCCTCATCCTTGGAGTGGTGATAGCAGCAGCTCGGAACTCTCGAAACCACATGTGCAAAACCCCCAGAAAACACTCCACCATGGGGTCCTGGGTGACATCGGGGGGCAGTTGGCCATCCTCCGGGTGACGTCCGGGGGCAGTTGGCCATCCCCCTGGTGATGCAGTGGTGGGTCGGCCGGGCGGGGTTTCTCCTCTTGTAGTCCCCTCCCACACATATGGGAACAAGAAAAAGAAAATGTGTAAACAATGGCCTCGCCCACTTTCCCTGGATCCTCGACCCTCCCCACCCTGTTGAACTATGTAAACATCATCAAAAATAAAAAAAGAATGTCCCTCTGAAGTCTTACCATGAGGTTCTGATGTACTTAAATCTTACCTTCAGTGGAGGGAACCAGTGTAAAAATACTTGGCCATCAAAAGCTCATTCAGCAGAATGGAAGCAGAACATGCCAGTAATATTTGGGCAGGACTTCTGAAATATTCTTTCCAGCCAACACATCTCTGTGTCATAGAAACATATGGCCCAATTAGGAGAACAAAAGAAATTCAGGAAGAAGAACTGAGTGTTGAATGTATCTGGCATAAAACTTTCTCACAGTTTCTGCTTGCCCTACCCACCTTTTACCATTTCATATTATCTGGGTCTTGTATTCAGTTAATTACTTCACAGACCTTGGCTGGCTCCACATGTTCAGACACTGTTCTCTAGCACTGGACATAGAGCAGTGGAGGCAGGTGAGGTTTGCCTAAGAACTCCGAATGTCAGCTGCTGGTAGTACTGCAAAAGAAAATAAGGCAGGATGGGATAACAGAGAGTGACAGGAACATGGTTTAGATGGACTCGGCAGGGAAGAGTCCTCTGAAGGAGTGACAGTCCGACAGAGATCTGAGTGATGTCACAGTCCTGTGGTGCACACTACTGATCTCAGGCAGGTTTTATATCTGTGTTTCTGTTTTGAATTGCTGGAGATGCTTTCCCTGATTGCCTACAGGGACCTTCAAATAAATGGCAAGGGAGAAGAAAAGGAAAGGTAATGTTGCCAATTGATGGCTAGTATATGGTGTCCTAGGAGTAGAAAACCCAGAGCAGCCCCTCGAAGCCTTCCTGCCTGCTATGCTGTCCTTGCTTGTTCTGCTTCAGGCGTTGTGCCTATGTTTTACAGTGGAATAATGCAAGGTTCTGTGTTAGGTTAGCAAATAGTGCGTGTTTATAAACTCTTCTCCTCTTGTGGTACACATTTACTTTTCACATTTACTTTGCACGTAAGAATTTAGGGACCGATATTGTGGCATAGTAGGAGAAGTTGCTTTCTCCAAAGCCAGGATCCCATATTGTCCCTAAGTCATGTCCTTGCTGCTCTGCTACTGACCCAAGCCTCTGTTGATAGGTTGGGAGAGTAGGGAAAGATGGACCCAAGTGTTTGGATTGCTGCCATCCACACGGGAGACACAGGAGAAACTCCTGGCGTGGCCCAGCACTGCCTGCTATGGCCATCTGGGGAATGAACCAGTGAATGGAAGGTCTTTCTTTGACCTCCTGAAGCTCTGACTTCAAATAAATAAATAAATCCCCAGCGCCTATAAAACTGTACTACATAATACAATGTAAGCAACAATAAAAAAAAAAAAGAAAGAAAATTTGAGTGTGAAGTTTTGAGTCCAGTGAAGAAAAATGAATGTAATGTTCACTGTAATTGATATGCTCTTTTAAAAATTAAATGTAGAAATGATTTGTAGAGACGGCTACTGAACTGAGTGGTGGGGAGTTCTGAAGACAGGCTTTCACAGGAATGTTTCTTTTTCCCTTGTAGGTACTGTTACTGATTGACATTCAAGTTTCCTACATCAACACCAACCATGAAGACTTCATAGGCTTTGCAAAGTACGTGAAACATTGGTGGATATATGCACTCCTCTTGCTGGTTTTTCTAGAATATGCTTTATGACTTCCTAACACAACTTCCCTACCTTTTGAGGCTAACTCCTGTGCCATCAAGATTAACTCTGAACTTACCTACTTAAGAGATCTGATTTCCATGACCATGGGACAAAGAAATTTAGTGTTCTTTTGATAAAGTAGCTGGCTCTGTTCTGCATATAAATCCATGTGTATCAGTCATCTTCTTGGGTGACGGTGTGCAGTTTGTACTTCAACTCTTATAAATAAGCAGAAACAAGTGTGGAATTTGAGCACAATTGCTCTCATTAGCTGGACATATCAAGTACGTGGTATTTCAACTTCCTGAATGTAGGAATCCACTTTGGAAGCTGTCCTTCCTGCCTTTTTTTGTTCAAAAGTGCAGTGTGGTGGCATGATGTGTGTGTGTGTGTGTGTGTGTGTGTGTGTGTGTGTGTGTAGCTGTTCTTTATAGATATTGTCTTGTAGGCATTATAGTTAGCTATAAATGTTGGTAATGCAACATTCAAGTCCTTAACTCACAAATGTTTGCTGCCCCATAGTGAAAGCAATTTTTGTTTAAGAATCTTAATTCTATGTCTAACATGTATTTATGAGAGATAAGTGGTTCCAAATTCAAGTATATAAAACATAGCTTATTTTATCTAAATTATAAAAGAGCTTTTATGCTTTCATCTAAATGAGGTGTCCAAGAACAGTGACAGGGCCTGGTGTAGTAGCCTAGCACCCAAAGTCTTCGCCTTGAACTTGCCAGGATCACATATAGATGCTGGTTCATCTCCTGGCTGTTTCACTTCCCATCCAGCTCCTTGCCTGTGGCCTGGGAAAGCAGTAGAGGACAGCCCAAAGCCTTGGGACCCTGCTTCCATGTGAGATTCCTGGAAGAAACTCCTGGCTCCTGGCTTCAAATCAGCATAGCTTTGCTTGTTGCTGCCACTTGGTGCGATGTCTGTGGCTTAGATGGGTGCCTTCATTTTACCAGCAGTGAGATAGGCACTGAATTTTATGATGTTGGAGAGAAAAAGGAAAGTGGAAAAACTATTCTGGAAATGCAGCAGTTTTGTGTATTTTTCCTCTGATTTAAACTGCGTGCCTAAGCCGTGGTTTAAGGAACTAACCTGGGAATCAGCAGTCCCATTTATGTTTCCGGTTTCGTTTTGGGTTTTGGCAAGGCAGTTAGCCTTACTCCAACTCACTCCACTGGGTCTATCAAGCACAATGATGAACAGTCTCTCTCTTGTGCCTCTCTCAGGACTGTCAGAGAAGCAAATTAATGAAGTTATTGGAAGTACCTTAGAAAACTGGTATCGTTTAGAGAAGTGGCTCCTCTCCCCCTCTCTGTCTCTGTCTCTGTCTCTTTCTCTCTCTCTCACACACACACACACGGTTACTAGATGAGATGTGCCATTTTACTGTTTTCATGGAATGTATACTGATTTAAGTATTATTGCCATGCCATAATTTTCATTTCTAATGTCATTATCTCCAAATGTCGTATTTTACACTGAGACTCGGAGCTAAATGACCTTCCCATGTGTATGCTAAGTTGGAACACATTTCCATGTGACATGGGATCACTATGAGGATGAAGAAATGTTCATTCCAAAATCACTTTGAGGGGTTGTGGTATTTTCTGTGCTTTTAGAAATCAAAAAAATATGGTGGTAGCTATAAATTTTAAAGTTGGCAGGAATGCCGTTTCCGTCAAGGAGGAAAAGTCAAGCCATATTTGAAGACAATTATGTAAGTATTTTTAATTTCCCAAGATAGAAAATTAAGGTCTGGGCTTGAGGAATATAAGCATTTGTTTCCGGAGATTTTCTGTAGAGAGTTGCCAGGAAGAGATGCATTTCTCAGATTTATCACAGGGTAATCTACATAGTGTCTTACACATCTAACTTTTTCAACTGGTACAACTTTTGCTCTAAGCCCCCCCTTTTTTTTTGCAAAAGGCAAGCAAATGGGTAAAAGTAGATTTAATAAAATGTTTAGTTTTGGAGTAATGCTCAGGATATTTCAGAATTCTCGGTCCTGTTGTACAGTTTATTCTGCCATGTTGACGATGAGGACCCTCTTCTCCGTCCCCCAGTTGTTTGTCAAACATGGACCGTAAAATATGTACCATGTGTGATGTGTCCAAGCAAGCGCTGCTGTAGGCTTGCTGTGGAATTTCCTGACTTCTGAAAACTCGGTCTTTCAACTATATTATGGTTTCTTAGCCTAAACATTCCGTATTTCAGAAGAAAACGTCAGGTTTCCTTGTAACTTGAAGTGTTTACTTTGTCATTCTTTTTTTGAGGAAAGTGCCGTATTTGCTTAAATAATTCCACTACTTTTCACTATTTAAGAAAGCAAGAATCAGTCCAATTGTTCCTTCATTCACTTCTCATTCTTAATCCTGCTGGTCCAACAGAAGGGCAAGTTTGTTAGCTGAATACCTTCGGAAGTGGATTTTTAAATGCTTGTGCTCTTCCTCGTTTGTTCCAAAGCACAATTTACCTTCCGAGTTACTAAGATTTATGCAGTCCAGTGAGCTAAAAGAAAGATGTGCTGCATTTGGGCATTAAAACCCTATTTGCACACAGCAATCAGCAAAGCAGGGTCTGTTTGTTTTTCAGTTTGTGGAATAGGTCTCCACACCTGTTTTCTCACAGTTGAAATGATGCAGTGTGTAGATTCCAGTTCTTGTTATATGAGCACCATGAAAATTCTATGGGTTGTAACATTCGTTATATCTCCTTCCTGATCCCCTGGAATGCCTCTGTTGCCGTTTTACTGAGGGCAGCATATTTGAGCCCTGCCACCAAATTCCAGAGCACTTTTGGTTTTTCCTTTCACATTCTTTTGTTTGCCCTATACCACATGGGTTTCTTCTATTATAATAGTGTTTCAAGTTCTTATTCTTATGTGAGAATTTTTTTTGTGTGGAATCAAAACCTATATGTAAGAGCATAGAAAGGTCTTTGTTTAATTCATTCCAAAGTTTGAACGTTTCCTGAAGTTTTCAGGTAGAAAGATACTGTGGAGCACCCTGGGAGGATATTGTTAATATCACTTGCTCAAGTAATCATAACTCCAATGTTGTGAGCATTTGGAAAGTTTTATTCATTCATTTAAAAGAGAATGTGTGTGTGTGTGTGTGTGTGTGTGTGTGTGTTTCCATCAGATACTCACTCTCCAGAGGCCAGCAAGGATCTAGACTGGATCAAACTGAACTGAATGCCAGCAGCTCAATCCTGGTCTCTTACATACGTGGCAGGGACCCAACCCTGAAGCATCAGTGCTGCCTCTTGGGTCTGCATCAGCAGGAGGCCACAGTAGGAGGATACCAGAGCCAAAAGTTAACGTGGACACTGCTGAGGGACACAGGCTTCTTAGCTGCTATCGTAAATAAGCTCTTGCTTTTATCTTTCATTCCAAAACCTATTTTGAACTTCGTCTCCATCCTTAAAATGAATCTTAAGCTCTGACTGATCCTTCTTTTAGAGGCCTCCAAGTTCTGTAGAATCTTCTTGTATGGTACTCAGACTGACACTTCACTAAGGATCTTAGAGTTGGAATTGATAGGATTTCTTCTTTTCCTGAAGTCTGGTTGCAGCCAGCCCTACATGTAATGAATAATACTTCCGAGACTTTCAAAAAGTGTTTTTGTCTTCCTTGGGCGTAATACAGAGGACCTTCTAAATGAGCTTTGCTATCCTTCAGTGGCATTTTAACAATAGGACTTTCTGATATGTAAAAATAGTTAATAAGCTGAGCTGTTTAGTGCAGTAGTTTCTAGACACATTGAGCTATTGAAATATGACTAGTGAGATGAAGGAAAATATTTTTAAAATTTAAATTACTTAAAGTTGTAATTTAACTGCCAGAATTGGCTGCACGTTTCTGTTTTGGATACACATGTCTGTGATATGCTAAATACAACCCTACTTTATTATTGGCCTGGTGAAGACCTACAGTGGTGAGATTTAGAAGAGAAAAAGGAAGCATGTATTTTAGCTGTTGCTATGTAAGCCCTAGGCCTCTGATCTATCAGTCAAATCCTTAAGTGCCCTGCCACTGAAATGTAGAACGTGGGCCTTCCTTTGCACTGTCCTAGCGCTTGGTCTACCCATTTTCTGGGTAGTGCTCCAATTCCACGTCTCTTCAACAAGAGAAGAGCAACACCTGATCTTTACCATGTGCTCTGCCTATCTGAGGGACTTGAGAGGTGGCTGCTGTGGCTGAATCCTCTTTGAATTGATTCAGTGTGAAGGCTTCTCCCCTTTATCCTGTCTCTATCCCCTTTTGTCCCACTGAAGCCTGGTTTCTACCACAGCACTCTACTGAGAATGCCTTTGTGTAGGATAAAAACAGTTACTCTATTGGACAATCCTGGTCCTTCAGTGGATACTGTTAACCTCTCCTTGGAGCACTGTTCTTTTGCTTCAAAATTTACTGATACCGTCTGCTTTTTTCTTTTTATACTCTAGCCAAACTTCATTCTGATTCTTCTTTAGTAGCCCATAACCTTCAGTTTTAGCTTAAGATTTATTTTTCATAAATAAGAATTATTTTTCATGAATTCATTTTCTCTTTCTTAGATTTTTTTTTTCTTTTCTCATTCCCCCTTCTCTTGACCAGTCTCGTTCATTCCAGTGGCTTCAGTTACCAAATTTATCTGATGATCCTTAGTCTACATTTGTGTCCTGGAATTTTTTCCTGGAGAGTGTACCACATCCAATTGCCTAGTGGTCATTTGTACTTGTGTATCCTGGAGAACCTCATCCCAGTAGTTGCAGTAAAACTCCACGTTTGATCCTGTAATTTACACCTGCTGCATTGTTCCCATTCTATGAGCGGTGACTACTCGTTGCTCAAACTATGAATGTAATGTCATTCTTTAATCCTTATTCCTTATTCTTCCTTTATCTTTACCAAGTGTGTTTGGATTATATTTCTGTAATATTTTTTGAGTTGGTCTATTTGTTCCTATCTTCACTGCTACCATTGAAGTGAATTCTTTTTAGTTGGCTTGCTCAAATAGTCTACCTGACTTTTCTCCTCTTTTTCCTTTTAGTATTCCCTGTTGCCTTCAGTATAAAGCTTAGACTTTCCAGTGTGATTTCCAATGCCCTGGAAAACCTGTCCCCTTCTTACTTTTTCAACCAGTTCTGTTGTCACAGTTCTTTCTCCCTCATTTCTTCACTGTCTGCTCCAGCCAGTCTGGCCAGTTTGAGATCCCTAGGTGTATCACGTTCTTGCTCAGCTCACATGCCTGTAATTAGCTTCTTTAAGTTATTTCCGTTTTCTGTTGCAGATAAGCATTGATCATCTGATCATAACTGATTCTGGAATCAAGTTAGAATTCCATAAATATTTTGTAAAATACATCTATAAACGCTGTATTGGATAATGCTAGTGGTGGTAAAGGAAAAGTCCCAGGATTAATGCAGGATCAGGGAGCAGGCATCGCTGGGAGGGAGCTAGAGATGTGTCTCATACACAGTTCTGCTTACAGAAGTCAGGCACAGACAAAAGGCCTTGGGACTTCATGACAAAAAAATATAACTGGGGAATTCTAAAAGGCATAACCTCGGAATAGTACTTGATGGGACTTTTGACTGCTGGGCAGGATTTCAGCAGTCTGAAAGGAGGGGGTTGGGCTGCCAGCCTCTTGTCTTCACGGCTTCCCACTCAGTCATACCCATATTTTCACTGAACTGCTACTTTGATCATGCTGTTTTCTGGCTCAGAAACATTTAACATTTTCCATTGCCTTTGCTGAAATAACTGAGTTCTCTGCAATTGACCCCAACACACAGTTTCCATATTAGGTTGCCTAGAGGGGCACTTCCCACCTGAAGCCAGTAGTGAATGACTCTGCTTCAAGGTGTTACCCTCCGTGACTGCCCCACATGCCTCAGCTTTCTACTGCATGACATCATTGATGTCAGTCTGTTCTCTTGGAGTGCAAGTTGTCTTCCTGTATTAAAGTTTTCCTTTTAAGTTTTCTGCTCTAAATCTCTATTCAGATTGTACCAGAAGGATATTTATTGTCTCTCTAATGTCAACCCAGACTAATTACTATGCAAAAGGAATTTATTTGACAAATTATCACACAACCCCTGGAGCATTCCCCTGTTGTTTTAAATTCTTTGTTATATATGCGAGGATAGAGAGAAATTGCAAAAAAAAATTAATAGTTTGAGGTGAGAGGTAACACTTTGCATGTTTTTCTTTGAATTCTTATTTTTATAAGAGTTTAAACTTTTTACTATCTAATTTTAGGATCAGCATGTTTTGGCCCCTAAACCAATCAACTTAGCTTGGTTTTCATATTTTAATGTTGTAGCAAAGCATTCCAAAGTGATTTGTGTGTGACAGGAATTGAAATGATAATTAAAAAGTGTGTGTCAGCGCCTGTGTCCCGCATTAAAACAGAAGCATGTTTTTCAGATTCATATTACACTCACACACATTGATTTTTAAATTTCAATTTATTTATTGTGTATGGGGATGGAGGGACCAACCTTTGCATGGTTTGGCATCCACATACACACACAGTGGTCTTGCTTGGTCAGACCAAAACCAATAGCTGAGACATAAATCCGGTCTGCTAGATTGGGACAGAAACTCAATTATCTGAGCCAACACTGCTGCCTTCCTGATTGTGTGTCAGCTGGAAGCTGGGCGTGGGGGTAGAGCTGAAGTGTCAGCACAGGCACTGCGACACTGTGAGTTAGGAGTCTTAACCCGGACAAAGCCCTTCCCACGCCTTTATTTTTATTGATTGTTTTGTGTTTGGTGTGTACATCTTCTTAAACAGTAGATCAATTGTATACTTCTGATCACAAGAACTGTATCCTGTTCATGCTTTTATTTCCCTCAGACTTGGTATCCTAACTTTTTTACTTATATCAAATTAAAGAGTTGTAAATAGGTACATTCTATAGTTTTGTAGAAATAACCAGTTTAGGTCCTGTATCCAAAAAGGTATCCAGAATCTTATATTAATTTGCCTATCCTAACGTTTGCAATGCACATAATCATAAATAAATGGAGTCTGGGTTCTAATGTTTCTGACACACTTATACAATTTACATCTGCGACACTGAGATCCATTTAAGTCATGCTTTGCTCAGGTACAGCAAGCAGCAACAAACATTTAGCTTCTCTTGTTCCCTGTGATGTGATGTCAGCTGGTTCCACACACAAACTTAGGTTCCCCGGTAACTAGGAGTAAACAGCTATGCATCTGTCACAGTTCTGGAGTTGTCAACAGTAATGAGTGCTTGATTGAAAACATTTCCCCTTAAAGAATACTCTAAAACTTAATTATGGTGCTTGGAACAGATAACTGTACCCTGTGAAAAAGACCTGGTCACATTGAATAGCTTTCTCATTTATTTCTAGAAATCAGGAGAAACCTGATGGGCAGTAAGAGGTCAATTTAATAGGGAAAAAAGCATGAAAGAGGTTGGAGGCAGGAGGTGAGGAACTCCTGGTTCCAGGACGTGACATGAAGGCACTGTGGGCAGCCAGAGGGCGATATGCACACACTGGGTAATGGTCCAGGGGAGGCACAGCCTCACTAAAAGGCTTGTATAACATCGATGCAGATAATACCCAGAAACGGTTGAGATGATTCCCACAGAGTCTAAAGGAATTCAGCATTAAACTAAAAATTGGAACAATAGCAAAAAAAAAAAAAAAAAAAAAAACCAAGGAAGAGAAAAGCTGAAATTTTCAGATTAGAAATTGAAGGACAAAAAACATACAAGTGTCCGCTGCCACCCAACTACAGGGGAGACTTTCACTGCTGGCCCTCTGAACACTCTCAGCTGAATGGAGTGTGATTTTCATGAGGTTGAGTCAGGGCAGATGATAAAAGACAGCTATTTGAACAACTGTTCTCAGCCTGGTATTGATTTCTAGCTTGCTACTGAGCCCTAACATCCTAACTCTTTAGGTAGTTGACCGGCAGCTTTAATCTACCTTTCCTTAATTTAGTCTATTCCAATGATTTATAAAACAGCCTTTACAAATTATTAAACAACCCGACAAAGAATTGAGTGTTGCTAGCCTTCCCAGAGTAACCAAAATGAGTTGTCTTTTCTTTTCAAAGGTTAGTTTATTTATGTGAAGGGTATAGAGAGAGAGAGAGAGAGAATGAGCCTTCACTTACTTGTTTACTCCCTAAAGGACTGCAGCAGTCGAGCACGCAGAACTTCATCCTGGTCTCCTGTGTAGGTGTCAGGGGCCCAAGCCCTTGGGCCATCTCCTGCTGCGTTCCCAGGTCGCAGGATCAGAGAGATGTGTTGAAACTGGAGTGGCTGGAACTGGCACTGGCACTCCACCATGGGTGCCAGCATTGCAAGCATCCTGCAGCGTCACAATGTCAGCCTGAGCTGTGGTTTCTTATACTGATGGGTCCGCCAAAAAAAGTGTTGAGGGAGAGAGTAACATTAGACTTGAGTGTGTGTGCTCTGGGCATATATTGTCAACGTTTGATCTGGATTTTAACCTTTTGCACTTACGTGTAAAATAAGCTGTTATGGCACCCACCTCACTGGACTTTCGGTAAAAGACTTATTGAAACTCACTGTGTGCCAGATCCTTGAGAATCTAGCTTTTAGCAAAGCATACACCCTGATCACAGTGAGCTTGCATGCAAATGGAGGGGGACTGACAGAAAATGAACTACACAGTGTGTGTGAATATGAAAGAGAGTGGGAGTAAAGGGGAGAACAGTCCTGGGGGAAGAGGGTCCGGAGTTAAATAGGGTGATCATGGTGGACCTCACAGAAAAGAGAAATTCAAGTAAAGCCTTGAAGGAGAAGTTGGGAGTCATGTGGAGTCAGATGTGAGGAACATCTAGGTAGTGGGCTGACATGAGGCCTGGGAGGTGGGAGGGTGTGACTGCTTTGGTGGAAGTCTGCAGTGAGTGATGCTGTTAGTGGGGGTTGAATCAAGGAGAGGAAGGATGGGTCCTAGGTAAGCCTGTGTATCTTTCTAAGATCCTTCACTTTGGCTTTCTGAATAGAATATGGTTGGCAGTAAGAGAGTTTTGAGCAGAAGAGTGACACAATTCTCTTTTATAAGAATTGTTCTGATTTCTTTATTAGGAATAGACATTAAAGAAAACTGGAAGCAGAGAATAGATAGTGTGTGATTGTAATCATCCACTTGCTAGATGAAGTGGTTTGGACAAAGGCAGCAGTGGAAGTGACTTTTAAAAAACGGTTGAGTTTTAAATACATTACAAGAAGGGAAAGTCAGCGGCTGTTAAGGATTTTGTCACTTGGAAGTCGAATCCCTTGAAAGTGTGCGAACAAATTGCCACTGATATCGAGAGGAGGACCAAGGCTGTAGGTGCGGAATTGTCAGAAACTACCTGCCAGAGTTAGGAAGATAGGTTTCAGTTGGAGAGACCCCAAGGGACTTAGCCTCTGTGTGACTCAGTCATACCATCTGTCAAAGGGAAGCACAACAATTGCCTCATGGAGTACGGTAATTATTGTTGTGAAGATTAAAATCACTGCTATCGGTAAAGCACTTAGAACATAGCATATGCTCATTGAGCATTGATTTCATTTTCATTACATCTATTCTGTAAGTCTGTATCAACTCACGTTGCTGTGAATGCGTTCAGATTTTCTTCCTGTGGTATTTTTACACTTTTGGCTGTGATGGTTCATTGCTATTAGAAGTCCCACTACATTTGGTTTTTCTGACTTGGATTGGCTCGGCCTCCGTTGCTGACATTTCTCCTAAAGCCTGAGTGTATTTGTTTTAGTGTCTGCTTCTTGTTTAGAGTGTGTTCAGTGCCACTTTCCTCTTTCCTCAGTGCTCAGCAGAGGAGCAGTCAGGTTCACAAGAAAGCCACCATTGGAAATCAGGTAGGAATTGTCTAAGAGAACCAATGCATGCACGCCCTGAAGAACATGGACTGCCTCGCTTTGACTATCTCTTAATGCACATTAATCATGCGCAAATTTTGCTTGAAATGCAGTTTTGTTTTTGTTTTGCTTCTAAAGTTTTTGCAGTGAAGTGCATTTGTTTTTTTTTTTTTTGGCCATTTTATGCAATTAACCATATTGATTTATTTTAAGTAACTTTTCTGCTATTTGCTCTGCATTTCAATTTTGGATTCCTCAGGTCCTATTGTGCTTGCTTCCATCACTCCTGAGTTTAACGTTGAATCTGTGAGTTGATTCAAGGTTAAACTGTGGCCAGTGGTTGCATGAGCTTTTGGTGCTGCTGGCTAGTTCACACATTGCACAGCCTGGTAACAGTGAAGGGACAGCTCAGCAGGAAGGCAGTTGTTGGATGAGTCTCCTGTTGGAGAACGAGGATCTGGAGTTTCTGTCTTGGGGCCACCAGCTGTCTCACTAACAGCGCTCTGCAGAGGTTGCATTAACTCCGACAGTTTGCTGTTTCCTTCATGTTTTATGTGATAATGAATATTTGCATTGTTATTTCTTTTCAAGTCAAAACAATGATGATTTTGTCTTTTTTTTTTTAAATTCAGAGGTACAATTTTTGAACAAATTGAAACCTCTGCTCTAGATTTTTTTGCCATTGTTTTGAAAGGAGAAGAGGTAATAACAGACTTTATTTTAAAATCTTTTTTTTTTTCTGAACTAAAGCATATAATTCTTTGCTATTTCAGGGAACCAATCTTCCGCCTTCAAGGCAAATTGTACGAGCTAAGTTCTGTAAGCCTTACTGTTGCTTTTTCATTTTGCTTTCAAAGGGCACAGTTTGTCTTTAACTGATTAACTCAACTAGCGCTGGCTACTAATTTTTTTGAACTTAGGTTGTCTTGTTTGTAACACCCTATCATTGAAATAAAAATCCTCTTAAAACAGAGTTCATCCCTTCACTGCTAATAACTTGCTGTGACTGAAAGGTATGAACTAGTAAACTCTAAAATGCTGTAATAATAAACCCTTAACATTGTGGGTGCTTTGATATTTCTCTAATTTTAATGGGCCTTAAAATAATTAAAATCATTAATGATCTTCATCTCTGTCCTTTTATGCTTTGTTGTCGTTAGGCGTAAGCTTTTCTCTTCTCTTTGTGTGATAATATTTCCAGTAAATGTAGATGATACTTCCAAAAGGTGGGTGAATCTTGAATATCTGATTTTGCTTTTTTTGTTGTTGTTGATAAGACGATTCAATTCAGATTATTTAGATTTCATTTTTGAATAATAAAGCAAAATTGAAACTTTTCCCAGGGCCATTTTATATCATTATTGAGTTGAATCTTGAAAGCCCAAATACCTTTTTTTTTATTGAAGTATAAGGACACTGCCAGATGACTAGCATTGGCTTTAGCTCTCATTTCTCTCATGTGTGTGAACCAGGTTTATCCTTTCAGCTTTGTACAGTGTGGCTAAACTAATAATCCCATATCTATGGAAGAAACAGATTTTGAACCTAAATATTTTGGGCTGATATTGCACTTTGCACTGAGTTGTATAGCACTGAATAAACTTAGCCTGGGTTATGTGATGGGATGAACAGAAACTATTTCTACAGGATGATTGTTGAGAGTCCATGGCATAGCGTGCTAACCCTTCACCTGTGGCTCTGACATCTCATGTGGGTGCTGGATTGAGTCCCAGAAGCTCTGCTTCCTATGCGACTTCTTGCTAACGTGCCTGGGAGGGCAGCCAAGGATGGTCAAGTTCTCGGGCCCCTGAACCCATGTGGAAGACTCAGAAGAAGTTCCTGGCTCCTGGCTTCAGACCAACTCAGCTCCAGCGCTTGTGGCTATCTGGGGAATGAGCCAGCAGATGGAAGATCTCTCTTCATCTCTCCTTCTTTCTGCAACTCTTTTGATAAAAATAAATCTTTTTTAAAAAGTCAGAAATAATATACTTAATGAGGTTTGTAGTCAACATGAGATATATGCCTGGAAAGAGTTGAAATCTTGCTACTAGCAGGTAGGTGCTATTTTGAGGGGAAATTGATATAAAAATTATAACTTTTTCATAAAAGTTATAGTTGAGACCAGTGAGGCCCTTGGGAAAATTACAAGCCATGGCATTAAAAAAAAGAAAGATTTATTTATTTGAAAGCAGAGTTATAGGAGTGGGAAGGCAGAGGGGAGATGTTCCATTTGCTGGTTCACTCCCCAGATGGTCACAATGGCCAGATCTTGGTCGGAGCTGGGCTGGAGCCAGACCATTCCAAAGCAAGGAGAAAGAAACTTGGGGGTCTCCCACATGCGTTCAAGAGCCCAAGTCCTTGGGTCGTCCCCCATTGTTTTCCCAGGCACATTGTCAGGGAACTAAGGAAAAGTGAAGAAACCAGGACTGCATTATAGGATGCTGGCACCACAGGCAGCTGCTTCAGTCTGCCACAACACCTGAAATGCCCAAATGATGTCTAGTTGTGATGCAAAGGATTTACGACAGAAATTTCTTTGTAGTCAGAGGCATCTCTGACTCGTGTCCATATAAACACAGCAGGATCGTGGTAGACTGACACAAACATGCATGTTACATCAAGTCTGAACAGAAGCTGGTGGCAGCTTCCTTTCATGTTACTTCCAAATGTTAAAATCATGGCAATAAGACTTTTGTGGCTTGAGCATTGCTCACTGTATCAGAGCACATCTGTTGAGTTTTATTGCTCCAGATAATAGAATTTGTATGATTGTCATGATAGAATATAAATTCCTTATCTAAAGTGCTTGGGAGTAGGCATGCCTTGAAGGGTAGATCTTTTTTCTTTTTTAGTTTAAAAAATATATATTGACTATGTCTTGTGTTTTTCGCAATTATCATGTGGTCAGACATGGCACGTTGTAATTAAATACATCCTTTTGTGGAATGAGATAGATGAATAGTTATACCACGTATGGGTTAAGTAAAAAACACAGATATTTCTCACAACAGGTTAGGTGCTGCTGAAGCAAAACACCTTTCAATTTGCAAGTGAGGAAGTTTGAATGGAGTAGCCTATTTTCCAGAATCAAATTAGTTTATGCTCAGTTCCCTTAATGAAAAATCCTTTATGATTTTTATACTTGCAAAAATGAACTATAACTACTTGATATTATTTGCTTTGTGAATCTGAGTACCTGATGTTAATTTGGGCTTCATTGACAACAATTTTTACTTTAAAGAAGATAGGGCCAGCGGGCCTTTGTGGCTGGTGGGACCAAAATGTCCTGCAGTTTCCTGATGAGTCATTCATTCATTTTGCTGTCCTCTTAGGACTACTGGCTGTAAGAGTTGTTCAGAAACATATTAAAAAGATTTAGGAAAAAATAAAGAAAAAAAGAAGCTCTTTAAAGTATAAACCCCATTCAGTTTTGTGTGCCTAGAAATTTTAATAGTTTCACAAAATGGTATAAAGGATTATATTAGAACATGTGGGTATGCACTTTACCCATAGTTGGACTGCTCAGAAACTCCATCCAGCTCCTCATACATATATTAAAAAAAATTCATGACAAAAATGGTGGTGAGTATTTAGAGAAGTAGAATGCTTCAGTCATGGGCCATTATTGCAAGAGCTCACAGCCCAGTGCGGGTGATGGTAAGTGAATGCATTGTACTGGCCTCCTTTCCAAGGCCGGCTTCCACTTGCCCTTCAAAATTAGTGAGACATCACTGCCCCAAGAGGCCAGTTCTGACTGCTGGATCTGAAAGTTACCTTCCTCCTCTGAAGTCTTGCATTGTCTGTGTCACTATTTTATTTGAAACAGTCTTGATTTTTCATTGGTTTGTTCTTTTTTTGTCTTCTTTTATTGGGACATAGGTTCCACTAAAGCTATCTTCATGCTGCTTAAAGCAGTGGAGTATCATAAAGTAAGTGTTAAGCAAATCATGTTAGTATGTTAGAAATAAAATCCTGCCTATAGAATAAGCATTTTGACAGGGATGTAAGCCTGAAAAAGGAAATTATGTAGGATGCTGTTATGGACCAGGACTTGTGTTGATGGGCTTGAGTATATGTAGTAGATTTGAGGAGACACTGGTGGAACTGAAGAGTCCAAAAATAAGAAGAATCCAGAAAACCTGTGGATGCTGGGGACAGAACTGGACGTTGTCTGCAGTGTCATCCATATTTCAGGTTTCTGATTTTTTTATAGACTAGATGTTAAAATCACGAGTAGAGAACATTATGTGGGGGCTCAGATTTGGATCTAGGGTCAGGGAGAGTTGCTTTAAATATGAGTCACTGTGAGAATCTGGCATAAAAAGAAGCTGGGATGCGGTGTTGAGTTCAGAAGAGACAGAGAAGTATTTCTTCTGAAAGCTTTGGAGAAGAGTTTAAGTTCTTTCCAGCAAGGAAGGGGTAGCCACTGAATTTTATCTAAGGGAGATCTGGGTGTCAGCCAAACAGAACAATTTTGAGGAGAAAATCTAGAGATCTGGAAATTGGCAAGGATATTCTCGAAGCAGTTGGGGTGAGAATATGTATGTTGGCATATGTATATGTTGGGATTGATTCAGGATGTATTTAGGAGTAGAGCTGGAAGAACTAGAAATCATAGTTGGGGGGGATTAAGTCATTTTCCCATGATTATAGCTAAGGGAATTCTCTGAGAATGGAGGTATGGCGAGGAGATGCACGCATGGGAGAAGACGGTAAGGAAGGGCTGAATTCAACTTTGTGTTCTTTGGAGACGTTGGTTTTGAGATTTGGGGCTTATGTAGACTGTAGATATAGGATTTATGGTTGTCAGTACATAAGTGGTAGCTCAGTCCATGGAGAAGAGGGAATTGCCTCCAAAGGGTGAGGACATAGAAGGAGATAACAGGATTTAAGAAATGATGGAGAAAGAATAACTGGAACAGAATGAGAAACTTTAAAAAGGGAGTCAGAGAAATGAAGACAAAAAAGTTGTAGAATGGTGGAATGAAAGCTGAGGAGAGAGAATATTTCGGTGGTCCTTTTCCTGGGGGCTTTCAGTTAGCTGGAGTTTGTTAGTATCAACTCTTTGGATCTTGTGAAGTCCTCTTCCATGTAACTGGACCGTGGCCAGGAAGCTGAAAACTCAGGTAACTGGTATAATCTGCCCCCAGCCCTCACCCCCAGGGATTTAGCATATAAGTTCAAGAGGGAAGTTGAATCTAAGTTTTGAACACGCGCAAGTTGAGAAGACCGTGTGATCTAATTTACGTGTTTTACTGATGCATTAATCAAGATGGATCAGTCAAGTTACAACCTCCTCATCACAGTAAAACATATAATTCACCCTGCTGTGTTAATCCAGTGAGCACTGTGAAAATAAGGGCATTCTGTTTCACAGGGTCAAAACCACACTGTGTTAAGGGATCCTGCGGGGTCTTGGGACAGGAGGGAAAGAGATAGAAGCCGAGTGAGCAAGAGTTTTAAGCACTATCCCACTAGTGCCATCTGTTGCTTCCATTGATACCCTATCACCCAAAATTCAGTCATCTTGGCTCAACTAGGGAAATAGGAAATTAAGACTTTGTGCACAGGAAAACAGGACAAAAGATGATGCTGACTAAAGATTGGAAGGAAATGGGTAAGTCAGGGCACTGGAGGTATTACTAAAATCAGAAAATGCACATGAGTAATAAAAGAAATGGGTGATGATTTGGGAGGTTGAAATCAGTGTGTGGAATGTTATATTTCGAGATTTTTTTAAGAGACAGGAGAATGCTACATGCAAATTGAAAATAAGAGGTGTTATTGGAATAAATTAAGAATG